AAACCATCTCTGCAGTCATTAATTTATACTGATCAATTTTAACACTCTTTAATTTATGAGTCAGCAACTATATATCGTGCAGACTGTGTATTAAGTTGAACTGAAAGCCACATCAGTGTTAGGTTAAAATAGCTCCCTACACTATCAACTTAGCACAAACAAGCCTCAGAGAAATTGCAAATTAAAATGAGAGCTTCCAGATAAAAACATCCTGCATGAAATGTGATACCAGCTGACAGTAAAAGTTGTCGAAAAGTTGAGAAAAAGTATGTTTTTAGCACAGCTGACGACACATTGACCTACATTTTCCGCCTTCTGAGCTCAGCCACCATAGACAGGCTCTCAGCTCCGCCCTCACAATACCTGATTGATGATTTATTGCAAGAAAAAGATTTCCTGTTGGAAACTGGTTTATTGCACACTCTCTATCGAGCACCTCCCATATTCTTAGTGAGACTTTAAAAGTGTTTTTGCACAACCCTGAAGTGATTTTCCTCTCATGATGCAGAAGTGTGCAGTGTTTAGCAGCCCCTCTCGGCCCTGATTCTGTTCACCTGCATCCCCACAGCTGTGCATGGATGTGACTTTGCTCAGCCTGCCTGTGGAGCTGCAGCTGATGGAGACGTGATCCTCGGCATCATGTTACCGTGTCATCAGAAAGTGACCGCTCTTCATGAACGGGTCAAACCTGAGCGCTTCCACTGCTCAGAGTGAGTATGACGTCCTTTCTTTTAAGTTTGTCAGTTGTTGTGGTTTTCTTGATGGATCATCTTTATTCATCGCTGACATTTTTACAATCCTCAATTTTCCACAAACAGAATAGTGTGCAATTCATGCAGCTGTGTTCGTAAAGATGTCTGTTTGAAAGTTCAGGATTGGATCTCTTTAAAGGCTTTATATGTGATTTTTCACACTTAAATGTAATAGAAATCAAGCATATCAAGAAAATAACTCTGTGAGTCATGACTGTCTACAATGGGTGTAACACCCGAGTCCCACTGTCTGTGATGTTTTCCGGGTTTTCCGAGTCATATTTTCAGTTTGTTTACATCGCCGGGACGGCCAGCTGACTCCTCCCCTCGCGAATAAAAGTTGTTTAATTGAGGGACTAGAGAAAAGAAGAATAACATACTGTACTCACTGCTTAACCGTGTTTCTAGATCACGCTCATTTCGGGTAAATTTACATGCAGTGTGAAGATACCAGCATAATAAAGATTGCTAGCATTAGCATGCTAACACAACAATGCACCGCAAGTTGTTTTGGTTTCATGCTGGTGCTCAAGGGCAACACCTGCTGGATTAAAAAAATCGCATATAAAGCCTTTAACAATAAAAACTTAAATCATAACATGCTCAAGGGTTTTATGGACTCTGTATTTGGAGGCAGCATGTGAAATAATCTAATTTCAATCTCAATGTCAGTCCATGTTGTGTACCTGTGCTTGTTCTCATGCATGAGCAACCGTACTGTGTCAAAGCCCACCTCTTCAAACCGTGCCAGGGCTGAGGAAGTGTACGGAGCACTCATACTATTCAAACAAACTGGACTTTAGGGGTCAACATGATTGGGCAGAGTATATGACAAGTGTCAGTGCATTTTGTGTGTATTGCGTGAAGAGGATGACAGAAAATAGTGGCCGAAGCAATACGGTCTGCTGCCATAATGATAGTTACTACCTTCACATCAGAGCAATGTGTCATTGGATGTAGTACTACTACTGATACGTCAGACATCAGCTAAGCGTGGAAATTGAAATAGAGGGCTGGCGGGAAAAATCCAGGTGAATTCAGGGTAAAAAATGTGTCTGTTGCATTCACATATTCAGCTAGGTAAAAGGGTAAGGATAAAGTTTTGTGCATGTGTGAAGAAGAAAGTACTAAAACTTTTGGCTCTGGGGTCTGTTGATTGTCCAGGAACAGAGGTCCTGTTTTGTTACAGTGCGCCCCAAAGTAAGCTGTGGCTCAGTAGTGGAGTCCGATTGTTTTTCCAAAAAAGTTATTTCCAGAAGAAATTGTTGTATTTTTCCACTTGTAGTAAAGAATTTCTACTTTGTGCAACAGTTTGATCATATTCAATGATTCTCCGTCCTTGTTGATTTTCAGTTTCGATCTGGAGTCCTTCATTTTGTCTCTGGCCACCATCCATGAAATCGAGGAGATAAACGCAGCTGGTTTCCTCCCAGGAGTGCGTCTTGGATATTTGATGTGTGACACGTGTTCATACGCCAGCAAAGCTCTGCAGAGCGTGGAGCACATGCTCGCAGTCAACACCTCTCTGACTGTGAAGTGTGACTACACAAACTCCACACCGACAGTCAAAATTATTTTAGGAGGGTTGTACTCGGAGGTTTCCATCGCTGTGGCCAGACTGCTGAACGTCTTCATGGTCCCTCTCGTAAGTCACCAACTCTTCGTGCTCTTTTTTAAGCCACTAGATTGGAAGCTAAGAAAATCTCATGTTTTATTGCTTCTTAAAGTGAAACTTATAAAAATGTAGATACTTTTTTTGTGTGTAAACCTACAAATGTCGAACACTTTCTCATCCCAACACTTGCATGTCATAGTTCTATCAATCAATCAATCTTTATTTGTATAGTGCCAATGGATAACATATGTTATCTCGAGACACTTTACAAAAAGCAGGTATAATTTTTTATTTAATATTGAAAAGCACACCAGCTGTAGCATTTTAGACTAACTGAAGGGTCTTTAGAGACTTACCAGGGCAGCCTGATAAAAGACAATTCAACAATCCAACCTGAAGGTAACAAATGCAAACTTACATATAGTTTTTCTGCATTTTTATGCCACAGGATCTGCCTGATTTTAGGTATTACAAAGGTGAAAATAGGCCGTCCTTGAAATGTGTTTTATATGAGAGTTAAAGGATTTTATCAAATAGAACTCCTAGATTCCTAACAGTGGTGCTAGATGCCAGGCTGATGCCATTGAAGACAATTATATCATTAGAAAAAGTCTCTCTGAGGTTTTTAGGGCCAAGCACAATAACTTCAGTCTTGTCTGAGTTAAGCAGCAAATGATTTCTGGTCAAACAGGTCCTAATGTCCTTAAGGCACGTTTCTACTTTACATAACTGATTGGTGCCATCAGGCTTCATTGATACGTATAGCTGAGTATCATATGCATAATAATGAATATTTATGGAGTGTTTCCTTATAATATTACCCAGAGGAGGCATAATGTAAAGAGAATCGGTCCAAGCACTGAACCTTGTGGCACTCCATGGCTAACTTTGGTGTTCCTAGAGGACAACATGTACAAACTGAGATCGATCTGATAAGTAGGATTTAAACCAATGTAAAGCAGTCCCTGTAATTCCAAGTAATTGTTCTAGTCTCCGTAATTGGATGTGTTGGTCACATCACAAGTGATGGTTTAATTTTTGAGGAAGCAACGCATCGCCTGCGCGCCTGACCACACCTAATTTTAAGACCAGCAGACGTCTCGATGCAAAGAGGGCAGAAATCTGCATTCATGTGCTCATCGGATGGTCCAAGTTTCTGAGTCGGGAAGTCATTCTTCCGACTTTAGTGTGTTCAGGTGCTTTCAGTTCAGAAAGTTATACTGCTGTGACAACAACAAACAGGGTGGAATGTCATTGTTACAAGTTTGATTCAGGCAAAGTAAAGTAAATGTCCAATACATTAATTTATTCAGAAGTATCTTGACATACATTTTCTAGCTTTTCAATATGTTTCTTGTTCTATTTTATGTCTTTATCAGCTGAGCGGCACATCGTCTTCACCTGAACTGAGCGATAAGACTCGATATCCAGTCTTCATGCGCACTATTCCCAGTGACATACATCAGACCAAAGCTCTGGCCAAAATGATGCTTTACTTCGACTGGAACTGGGTCGGCGTTGTGTACGGGGACGATGATTACGGCAGAGCAGCTTTCCAGAGCTTCTTTTGGGACGCTGAGGAGAACGGTGTGTGTTTGGCCTTCCAGGAAGTGCTGCCTCATTACCTGGATCATTCAGAGAGAGAGCACCGTATCAGGCAGATCGCCCTGCAGATCCGCTCCTCCAGTGCACAGGTGGTTGTGCTCATCCTCAGAGCAGAGTTGGTGAATGCCATCTTTCAGGAAATGATAAGGACTAACACCTCACGGACCTGGGTTGCCAGTGACTCCTGGTCCAGTAGTTGGTCTCTTGCTCAAATGGACGGCATCAACACAATCGGTGACATTCTTGGCTTCACCTTCATTGCAGGAAAGAGTGAATTATTTGATAATTATCTCAAGAATCTTGCAGCAACCCCAGGAGGACACAACCTCTTCATAGAAAAATACAAACACATCCGATTCAACTGCACCCCCGAATGTTTCTCTAACACGCCTCCGCCTTACTGCCCATCCAATGACCTCCTGAAGATAAAATCTGGTGATGCATGCAACATCACACATCCCCAAGAGCAACATGATGACTATCTTGTCAAGTCTCTGGATACAAGTAAGGCCTTCCCTCACAGAATAGCAGTGTGGGCTGTAGCTAATGCTCTCAAAAAGCTACTGAAGTGCAACAATTCTTCATGTTCGGGAGAGATTAACTTCCCACCGTGGAAGGTAAGAATGGATAGCTACAAATGTGGGGTTAAATCAACCTGACATTAGAATCACCATGAAGAAAAGTTTGGGGAAATGTCTTCAGTGTTTACAAAGAGACGGATGAATATCCTGTCCCTTGTTTTGCAGCTTCTCCAAGAACTGAAGAACATAGAGTTCCAACTAGAGGACCAGATTTTCTCCTTTGATGAAAACGGTGATTTTGTGAATGGTTATGATCTCGTAATGTGGGAGGAGGGCAGCCAGCACAGAAGATTAAGAAGGATTGGGAAATACCACATCTCTAATGGACAAATAGAACTCCTCGTGAAACATTTTAACTGGATTTCAACAGTCAACAACACGGTAAGACTGCAGAGCTCACAGACTCCTCTCAGGATGCAGATATGATTGCTACAGTATCAGTGTAGTTACTGTTCAGCATCGCAACACTCAATCAAAAATAACAGGTTTGAGCTGCGATACTCCACGGCTCCTGAGCCACATGCGGCTCTTTAGTGACTAGCTGTGGCTCTTTAAGGTCCTACTTGAAAAAAATACCAAAAGAATATCTGAAAAGGGAAACAGTGTCTCACATAGAAGATACTCTGGTGGGCCGCCCAGGTATTCACACCTCAAAGTGTAATTGCTGACCATATTTAAAGGGAGGGAGTCAGAGAGAAATCAGTTTTACGTCCTTACAGTAAATGCAAACGAATGATTTTATATTTTTCTGCAGCCGCTTGCTTCCATCACTGTCTGGTAGTTTATGATGAAGTTGTGATACGCGCCATTAGCTACACACATTGCATCATCTGGTGTGATAACGGAATATAAAGAGAATCCTTTCAAAACCTGTGTAATTTCATTTGAGTATACTGCTAATGAATTATTATTATTATTATTATATTATAAGTAATGCAGAAACACAGAAAAATCAAGATTTGTAATAAGGCGGGCCAGGACAAGACGCTGTAAGAGAAGTGCAAGTGTGTAAGAGTAGCAAAAATATTTTGACAGGATTGAGAGCGTGCAAAAACAATTTAGATAATTATCAGTATGTTTTTTATCTTAGTCCTTAAAACGTTTTATTGCTGAACCATCATCTGCTGAATCCTGATCTCCCCCCTAACGCCTGAGCACTGAACCCTCACAGACTGTAATGGATCATATACTGTTAAATAATAAGAAAAAATTCCACCTCCAGTGTGTTTGAATTTCTTTCATTACTGTGTTTATTTATTTAAAAAAACTATCCAAAGTAAGACAAAACAATAAATCAATCATAAAATAAGTCTTAAAGGACCAATATGTAAGATATCTACTGAATGAAATCATATTATGACCTTACTATATGAATATTAAGGAAACATGCTATGTTGAAGTGCTGGCTTCTCTGATAACAATGCAGCAGCCAGTATGTCCTCCTTCTAACTTTAGATTCTGGTCCTGAATGCTCTGGATTTGTTTGGATCAGAGAAGGTAGACGGGTAAGGTTGTTTTGGACGCCTCTCGATTTGCCAGGAAAACCGCAAACCAACAGGTGTTGCGGCGATGGAAGCGGGCAAGAGAACTGGTTCAGATAGAAGTGATTGAACCCGACCTAAAAAGTCTCTGCATGTTTCTAATAAGCTCCACAAGCAGAAACGTGATCAAACTACGATATACAGTATATTGATGAATCTCTCTTTAGAAAAATAGAGAGGTAAGAATGCAGAAAGGTTTCAAGAGAGCCAGAGTTACATATTGCTCCTTTGACCTTGTGAATATATGACTGAACAACATAAACATCTCTTCAAATGTGCAATAAATAACCACACCTGTTGGTCATTTAGATCCCAAATAATGTAAAATATTGGACCTGGTGTGAAGCTACAAAAATAGTATTAAAATTAATCTTTACCAAGAAGATGGTAGTAAAAAGGTTTGTAGCTGAGATATCTAAACTGCACCAGAGTGTTTGTCATTTAATAACAGGACTAAACTTTGTTTTGGCGGCTACTGTTAATGAAAGAGAAGATTTAGAAGACGGATGTTAGAAATATGGTCTTGTAGAAGGTTAATCCCTTACATCGTTTCCAGGAGGAGTTGTATGTGTGAACGCAGAAAGCCACATTTTTTTACCTCAGGAAACCCCCCCACACACACACCCCCTCCCGTCTGACAGGGATAGTCTCCCGCTGTGCGGTGCATGTGTGAACAGCCAGGTTAGGAGAATATCCAGTGCAGTCCTCCTGAAATGATCTAGATATTTTCAGGACTGCATGTGTGAAAACGGCTCAAGTTCAGTCAAACAAATGCTACCTTTAATAAACTCTGTACAAACCGGTCATGTAATGTTAATTCTCTTGTCCTTCTCTCTCAGACTCCTCGTTCCAGATGCTCCCAGCGCTGTGCTCCTGGTTCAGTAAAGAAGATCTTGAACGTATCCTGCTGTTATAACTGCACCCTGTGTGTGGAGGGGACTTACTCTGATGACTGGGGTATGCATGTCTCATATGTTGACTCGATTTTGTATTTTAGTCTCAAATATAAACCCACTAGGGCAGCAGTTAAATGCATGGGTCCTTGTGCCAAGAAGCACCTAACCCAACTACATATTGCTGAAAGTCGGATATAATTCATTAAAAAAAAACTTCATGTATTTAACTTACCATACTTCTATTGTTTTTTTTTTTAGCCACTGCGTCTTTGTTTTTAACCCTTAGAACAATATGTCACCAGACTTTCCTCCTGGATTATTTAAATTGAATCTTAACTTGGCTTTTTTCTTCATCTCCAACAGATCTTCATGTGTGCAAAAAGTGTCCCAATGGAACTTGGTCTCTGAAGGGTTGGACTGAGTGCGGGCCGAGATGGGAGTCCTTCCTGCGTTGGAGAGATCCTCATCCCATCAGCATGCTTGCGGCCGCAGTCTTTGGGATCCTGCTCCTGTTTGTTGTCTTTGTTATTTTCTTGGTGCACAGAGACTCCGCTCCGATGAAAAAAGCCGAGGTGAGACTGTCCTGTGTGATGATGGCGGGTCTGGGGGTCAGCTTTGCAAGCGTGATATGCTTAATGGGCAGGCCGAGCGTGCACCTCTGCCAGGCCCGTCAGGTGATGTATGCAATGGGCTTCACCCTGTGTGTGTCCTGCATCCTGGTCAAAGCCTACCGCACCTTCCTGGCTTTCCTTCCCTTCAGTCAGATCACACACAGGCAGCTGCACAAACTCTACAAGCCGCCTGTGATCATCCTCGTCTTAACGTCTCTGCAGGGGGTCATCTGTCTCCTCTGGCTGCTGTTTGACTCTCCTGATATCGATGACACACCTCCATCCCCACAGAGCATGGTGAGGTTAATCCAGTGCAGTGAAGGAGCCACATTCATCGGCTTTGGCGTGATGCTAGGCTACATCGCTCTGCTCGCGTTGGTTTGCTTCCTCCTGGCCTTCAAAGGCAGGAAAGTCCCTCAGGAGTTCAGTGAAACCGGCTACATCATCTTCAGCATGCTCATGTATCTGTTCGTCTGGGTGTGTTTCATCCCGGTCTACATCACCCGCGATGAGAAGAGGACCCCTGCGCAGGCCTCAGCCATTCTGGTGTCGACCTATGGCATTATCTTCTGCCATTTTGTACCCAGGTGCTACAGAGCTCTTCGGGGGCCAGAGACAGATGTGTTTGAGAGGATTCTGAGGAGATGTGGGCTCGCCAAATGTCCAAACCTCGAGTCAGACACTGAGATAAACATAGATATCCAGGCACGGAACACAGCATTTAAAAGATACGACAGGTTTTCTGTAACAAGTACAACAACCATACTGAGCAGCTTAGAAACACAGAATCCGTCTGATTCTGAAGTGGTCGTAAAGACAGTTTTTGACAAAAAGATTCATCCCTTTTCTCGAGAAACAAATGCGATCAGGAGACGCAGAAGTATATCTTTCTAAAAAATCTGTTTTAAAGTGTTCTGTGTATTTATCATATCTTTACTAAGTCATGCTGTGCTGCATTTTATGTGAAGTTAATGTTTTTTTCTAAAAGTAGAAGAGTGACAATGACTCATTTGTATTGTATACAAAGACGAGTGCATTAAACCAAATGATCTTTGACTTTTGATTCATTTTTACCACAAGCCAGCAGCTTTAGCAGAGTAGATCTAATAGATCAGTCAAACTTTAGATTAGATCTAAAGCAAATCAATTGTGACAAAATGTGCTTCTCAACTTCTCCTGTTTTATTTTAAAGCGATGTGAACATTTAAAAATATTTCAAATAATGAACGTGTTACAAAAGTCTATAGGACTATGAAAGTGTCCCAAAAAATGTGTCAAAAAAAAGTTGTTGTTTTGGGACTTTTGCCTTTTTTTCGAGAGGACAGTTGATAGATGATAGAGTAGGTATTCAAGGAGAGAGAGAGTGGGGGATAATGTGGGAAATGAGCCTTCACAGGCCGCCTGCTTGGTAAACTATTGCCTCTGTACATGCTGCATGTAAATAAACCACTAGGCCATCTGCGCCCTGATTATTAATGATTACAAACTCATTTTAAAGCTGTGTTTGTAAATGATCAATAAAAAATATATGGACGTCGTATAGAACCAAGTTTAAGTCAGTAATAATGAAATATATCAGTCTGTTATCAATCAAGAGAATCAGCTCTACTGGCCAACATGAACACACAAATGCACAGGAACAGTCCAGGAATAAGGAGTGCAAAGGATGATAGAATAAATATAACACTGCTGAAACCAGATTGTTTTTATACACGAGTGGAGTCAAAGAATAAAATGTGTTGATGTTTGGATCTATGGGTTTTTGTCTCGCTAATGTTCAGTCTATGTTGTTGTTTGGTCATTACTTGCTGTTTGGTTTTTGCTCGTCATTGTGGTTAAATGTCATTTTGTGTATGTATGAACCACCAACCTGCCAAAGGACTACAAATAAGCCTATGACTACAATCCCGCATATGAGATGAGATAAGATACTTTATTGTCTGTATTTTCATGTGTATGTTCATTAATGTGCACTGTCTTTATTTTAAATAAATAAATATATTGCTCAATCAATTCACAAAAAGTTCAGTTTATATACAATAAATGATATATATTCAGACACCCATATACATATCATTATCCTAAGGCTATATGTGTAAAATATGAGCTGAAACAAGTGTGATTGAGAGTTTTGCATCAGCTTCACCCCTTCTGTTATCGAATGGGGTGAAATAAGGCTGTGTTACTATCGACGGTGAACCTCCAAAATAAGCCTTTTTTTGTGTGTGGTTTCCATGACACCTACTACAATACCCGTAAGCACAGCCACCTACCAACCAAACACAGCATAAGAACAGCTCTCAGGGTGGATAAAAAACAACAAATAGATCTGTGCTTGAGTGAATTTTAACTGCTGCTGAATATTCACAGTGGAATAAAGCACAAAAACACTGTGGTATGAAAGGTTGTGTGATACGTTTGTTTTCACCAGACACAGAGAATTTAAGCAATGTTAAACTCTCTGTATATCTGTATAGAAATCTCTGTAAACAGACAAGATCGGAGTCTTGAAAAATACAAAATTGTGATAATCCACATGTCATCTTTAATGTGCAGCTGTGCCTATGTTTAAGGTGAAGCTTTACAGGTCTGTAATATTCGATATGAGTTGATATCTAACCTCGTATTCTTGCATTTTCAACCTGACTAAGTAATGAACGAGTAAACATGCGTCCCCTTCTTTTAAATACACAGATTCCCTTATAAGGGTCCGTTACGCAAATAAATTCAAATTAAATAAACACACATCTTTGTTTCTCTCACTGTATGTAGAAGCCTGAAAACCTGTGAAGTCATACCTGCAATCGTGTGCTATAGCTGACTCTGGTAATGTTGTACAGACTGTATTATTTTATTAGAATTAATGATGGATCAGCCCATCCTGTATCCTTTTTGAAAATATTATGGATATTTGACAGACCCTTAAACTTTTACAGTGTGTTGGATCATTTCAGGTACATGTCATGTTTTGTGCAGTGTCTGTAATGCCGTTTTTTAAAGGTCCCATATAATGCAAAATAAGCTTCGCCATATTTTTATCAGGACACTTTTATGTGTCTGTCTACAAACCCCACAATTATTAAAACAAAAACAAAAAACATCCTCTCTTTTTGCCTTCTCCACTTTTCAGGAAATGTGTGCTCAAACAGGCCGTTCATGGATTTTCCCTTTGTGACATCACAAAGGGAAGTAACCCCTCCCCCAGGTGGATGACACTCCAACTGCTAGGTGTTTGTTCTGCCCTCTGAGTCTGCCTTCTCACCGTTAATAATCTGGTATGGTGCAAGAAAGCCCCAGCCACATCCCCTTCCAGAGAGGGGCGTGGTCAAACACAGCTGACTTGCGTTTAAAACTATAGATGAAGAAACTGCCTGTTCTGGCCAGAGCTGAAGTAGAGGGGTTTATAGGCATGACAAAATACAGGATCAGAGTTGATTTTGAGCAAGAACCTTTAAAGACATGTTTTGGGGAGCTCTTATTTAAACTGGTTGAAAAATAGGATAATATGTGACATTTAATGAGCAGATAAAAGAGGAACATGTAGCTAATAAAATCTTACATATTGCAAGAAAAGCAAAAAGAAATCCTCATGTTATGTATCGCTGACTAACTGAAGGTGATGTAGCTGAAGCTGCGTGAGAATATCAAGACCGTGTGCACATTGTGGCCAATGCAGGTGATGCAACATGTTGTATTGGTTGCAGAGAACAATCACACTTCTTTGAGTGTCAGACCAGTACAGCATAAAACTTTTATTACTTTATTTGAATGGAGTTTTTAGGTACTGTATGTAAAATTTACATCAATTTTAATTGTCTGAAAATGTTTAGCTTTTACTTTTTACATGTTAACCCAATTACCTGTTTGTTTCTTTTCTTACATTTTCACAAGAGGAGTGTTAATCTATCTTTGAAGCTTCCGAGGGGAATCATTGAATGTTTTGCATCAACGCGTGTCTCCTACCCAAACATCAAGAATACATTTAACCTTAACGGATGTGATAATAACGTAAAAACAATAATTTCTTCCCGCATCAGTAACAAGCACAACAATTACAGAAGATGTAACGCATAGAAAAGACCTATCAAGATGAACCAAAAGGAACTCTGCCATGGAGCAGACTCATCATTTTTTAATTATTCTTCTATAATGTTTTTTTTATTTATTTGATTCAAAATGATTTGGTCAACTCAGTATTTTTTCCTCATGCAGTTTGACAGACTCTGCATGACATATTTAAACTCACAACTTAGTAAATAAAAACTTTGTGAGCATAAATGTGTGTCGAACTTACAGAACATTATTGACTTCTTATTTTCACTACACTATTCTACCACTACGCCTATATGTATAATTTAACTTCACTTCTAAAGCTTTCAATACGTGTGAGGGCGTTAGAAAGTCCATTTAAGACTATAGGTTGATGTAGAAACACATTTTATGCATGAGGGATGAACAACATCTAAGCTGACACACACAGCTTTACAAATTGTGCAGAAAATAATGTAGAACTAGTTCTATCTTTGTCAAGTTTAATATTCTCCTTAGTAAAGTTTGATGTGAGGTTCAGTTAGCATTGCACAAAAACGTCCTGGTGGAAACATCCTTCAGAGGGCAACAATTGACTTTTATACTGTGAGTACATTTCCGAGCCAGCACTTTTTTTCACTTTCACTTCACTGAAGGTGTTAAATCAGTACTTCCACTTTAACGCTGAGCTTTAACGCACGTTTCTGTACTTCTACTTTTGCAAATATCATGTGTGCTTCTTCTACCTCTTCTTTTCTTTCACTCTGAACTACTTGCCAACCTATTATCTGTTGCTTTAAACAAGCATTGAATCAACACAATGCTGTATAAACCTCCTACAGCTTTATTTTAGATACGTAGAGTAACTTAACTCATGGTGCCTACACGATGAGAACAGTCATTTACAGATTGAAACAACATTACCAATCTCAGAGACATTCTGATTCGTGTGATGAAAGCGCTGGTTGGTTAATAAGCACTTTGAAGGCATGTGCGTGCATGTGATTGAACACTAATGTTACATCAGCCGTAAGGCCCAGTGATGATCCTCGTAATGACATCCTGAGGAGCTCTTTCAAATGAAGATCCTCGCTGTGTAACTGCTGCCCCAGGAGTGCTGGCATGTGTCGACGGGATGCGGGTGGAGCGGAGCGCAAACAGGCGCTACGAGGGAGGAGGAAGAGGGAGGAGTGGGACGGAAAAAAGTGGGAGGAAGCTCGCAGAGATCTATTGAGGAGAGCATGAAGAGGAGGAAGAAGCAGGGAGGATAATGGGAGATGGTCTGAGGGAGACGGGGGAGGGGGAGGGCGCTCCAGTGAAAGCTCCCAGCTTCCTCCCTGCTAACCCCAGTAGGGCTTATTAAACACCTGAGACACCTCTCCCAAAGGCTACACTTACTCTAGCCATAGGTTGCTAATTTGTCACCGTAGGGTGGGAGCAGTTCAAAGACGGTGTGGGTGTCTAGGGTGATCGTTTGTGAAGCAGGCATAATAAGCCGTAAGACATCAAGAAGCGCATTATCATTACACACGTCTGCCTTGCATCATCTGACCCAATCTCGTCAAATTATTGTAACACCATTCATCATTTAGTCACACGCTGCAAAATGTCTGCACACTGAGGGGGCGACTTTAGCTCTGTGCAGAGGAAGCTTTGTTTGTCTTGTGTGTTGAGAAATGCCGCAAGTGAGGGATGTGATGCTCGCTTCCTGTTGTCTCTGGCTGAACTTTAGACTCTGGACTGAAAGAACAGACGTGCCAGACGAGGAAGTAGGGAGCAGAGAAGCTAAACACAACCTGTTACAGCACAGGAGGGAGGATGGGAAGGAAGGAGGGAGGGAGGGAGTGGGCAGAGGGTGAGAAGAAACACTCGAGAAATGCAGGATGTTCTCTTAATGCTGAGGAAGAGGAAATGACTACAATCAACATGTAAGAACACATTTCATATGCATTTCCTGATTTTTCAGATCAACATTTAGAAGCAATGTTCAGACGAGAGAAATAAAGTCAGCAAGCATGCGTCAACCAACTGCAGTTCCTTAAATGGCCACTTGAGGCTGGCATCAAGAGTGAGTTAATCCCAATTAGGCCCCTTATTAAAAAGCCTCAACTTTAAAGCAGAGTTAAAGATGTTTACAGCCAGGTTACAAGAAATGATTTTGAATTACAGCTATTATTTTTAATCATGAAAACGGTTTGATAGTAATCATTTCATTGAACTTTCTTATCTTAGTTATATTAAGGCATAAAGTTATGCATATTCTGGGGCATGGTTGTCCTGAGTGACAGGTGACGGCTGTCTGCTTCACCTCACCTTATTCAGTCACTGCACTTAACCTCTTGAGTGTGTTTGTTGTGTTTGCTTTGCTTGTGATGTGGATGCTTTTCAGGCAATTTTTCATGGAAATAATTGGCAAAAAGTTGTTTTTTTCCGGTGTCCGTTGTACCAAGAGAACGTGCAAGGAGCTTGCATGGAAGCCTTTCTGGAAGTGAAAGTTTTTTATTTTATTGTCACATAATGGATTTTAGTGATATTGACAGCACTTCAAAACAAAATAAATAGAATTTCAAAAAGTTGTTTTTTGTGAGACGAGCGAAAGTAAACCCACCTTGGAAACAGGATGGACAAGAATTTGTATTTATCCAAGTCAGACAGCCGCGGTTTCTATGCGGTAAAGTGCTCACCTCTGGAGCTCCTCTTTATCCCCTGCAGTCTGTGTCTGTTCTCGCTGTGAAAGCCCGGCACAATAGGGCCGCATTCACAAAAACGACAAGATCCCACTCTGAGCTTCACAAGTCAAGGTTTTTTTGTCCTCTAGAATGAAATCTGAGAAGGACAATAGTTTGGCCCCAGTCTGATCGTCTGTCTGCCCGACTGTCAAACACAATATACAACTTTTTGGTGGGATTGGTGCCTGCAATGACTGTTGAGCAAAATAGGCAGTGTATAAACCGTATTTGTTGTAAACAGGTATCTAAGTAGTTTAAAAGTAGCAATGGCAGGTACAATCTGATATGTTACAAAAGGCTGTTTTTGCAGTTTGCTGTTCACCTTGTCTGAAGCCTCTGGGGGCAGAGGTTTCAAGTATTGAAAACCACTACAAAGAAGTAATCTGTAATGTCAATTATGGTATGTTTTGCTTTTGTAGGTAATATTAAGGCATCAGTGATATTCCCATTGCATTTCACAATGAACTAAAAACTCCTCACAGGAGCTTTTAGCATCTTAATGTTTGCCAATCAGACAGCAGACACTCCACCATGAAGACGAGGAAAGAGGACAAACTCACAGAACACTTTAAACGCATTAACACAGATATGATCAGAGAGAGAGAGAGAGAGAGAGAGAGAGAGAGAGAGAGAGGTTATCTCCTGTTGTACTTACTTTTGACCATATTTTCCTGTTAGTCACCAATTTCCTATAACCTTGTCTTATTATTAATTCATGACTCACTGCAAACTTAGCATGGACTGTATATTGGGTATAAAGATCATTTCAGTTCTCACAGGCCTGAAATGTCAACCTGAAAAAGAGTTGCCTCTTGTTTTTATTCCTTTTATTTTGTGTTTTCCTCCGGTGTTAAAGCTGAATGACACAAATGAGGGTTGGAACATGGAAGGGGATGAAGAGCATACGAGTCGTTCAATACTCTGCTGCAAGTTATTACAGTAATGAACACTGGTGAGGAGAGTTATAGTGAGTAAACGTTTGATTCATACGTACATTCATGCCTCTTTGTATTCATGTGCGTCTGTCATCAGCTAATAGGTTCCAAGTATGCAACACTGTATGACCTGTTACATTGGATGGTTCAATTAACAGACAGACTAGACTGATAGAAAAATCTGACATTATCTTAGGCTTCAAAATAAATAAGTGATCATGTCAGATGAGGAGTCAATTGTCGGTTTTTTATGGAAGAGGTGAAAGGCCAGAATTGTAGGGAGCACAGGGGAGAAGGTTGCTTCCATGGAGTCCATACAAACTTGATTATTGGAAACATGAAGGACATTTAAGACTATTTATACCATGACCACTTTCTTGAGAATTTTTTTGTTGTGCAATCAAAATACAACATTTTCAACAAGCCTTATCTCCCTTCCCCAGATAATTCCTCAGGGTCTGACTAATACTTCCCACACAAGGTCCTAACGCAATGGCAAAATTATTTACTAGTCCGGGAAATAGTACAAGTCAAGCAATGATTAGCCAACAAGGAAAAATTATAGTCTGCAGCGTAGCTCATTCTGTGCTGGATGAGCCGGAAAGCTAAAGGGTATGCTAGCAAGATTCAGACTCAAAAACATTGTGTTAAGTTGATATAAAGTAAAACGGTTTTAACAGTAGTTAACCAACATTAGCCGGCTCGCCAGTCATGTCGTATTTCTCAAACAAATGGCGTTGAAAAACTACACCAATGCAGAAGTGCACAAAACTGTAGTAGCTTGAGTGTCCACTTTAGACTGGCTGCACAATCCAAGGAATCCCCATCATGCCTGAATACAAAAATCCTCTTTATTGGTAAAAACTGAACAGAGGAGGATTTCATATAGCACATTTGTTTTAATATATAATTAAGGTTAAGAGTAATGCATACATTTGCACTATTAGGGGCATGGTTGAGTTGACTGACAGGTCGGTGTACTGTTGCCAGGATGCTTATAAGCCCCGCCTCAGGCCCACCTCTTTGCTTGTTTCTCGATGATTGACAGTTACTTAGAAATAGGGTTTCCACTGTGTTTTGTGTTTGGGCGTCATTGAGACTATGTCAATGTTTAGTTTTGTCTATGTTCACAAATCCACATCAGGGTTTTATGAACACAATATTTGAGGTGGCTGCAAATGACTGCAGACTTAAATAGTGATTTCAATAGCAAATAGGATGTGAAGTGATTACAAACAGGATCTAAAGTATTATTAAGTTCAGAGCGATACTGTATAATTTTCAGTAGGCTTTGTGTGTTATACACGCTCCATCCCGTGGTGTTCAGAACAAAAGGCAGGTAACAACCTCACTTAGTGACGTCAATAACGAAGAAAAAAAAAGAGCTACTTGAAAGGAGTCCAATTCTCTCCAAAACAATTGCCCTTCAGGTATGCAATAAAGCATATAATGTAATCTAATGACACCCTTCAGTAATAAGAATATTCACCCAGAACATGGTATAACGGCAATATTGAAATGTTGTGCTTTAAAAGTGAACTTGAACCTTTGATTTGATCCAGTTGATTATTGCATTCAAGATGGGACCGCAAGTAGAGTAAACGATGAGAATAGAGAAAAAAGGTGAAGGAACTAGCGAGATGAAGTAAAAGGGAAGGAATCAAAAGAACACTAAAATGGAGATAAAGGACAGCGACCATGAGAAATTCTGAAGAAATGTAACTCAGAGAAATGGAGCGTTAGGACATCTGCTTTGCTCAAGGGGCCTCCTCTGGTCCACTGGCTGTGTGTGCATGTATGTATATGTGTGTGAATGAGTGTGTGTGTGTTTGTCCAGGCGTCGGTACACCTGCACAGACTGAGTGGGTTGGCTCAGTGGGTTGGCTCAGTGGGCTGGCGTGAAGCTCCATGGATCCCCCTCCAGGCCGGCTCTCTGTCAGGCCCTGCCAAGGTCAGCCTCCTGCCAGGGGGGAGGGGGTGGAGGGAAGGATAGAGGGAGGGAGCGGGGGCGGGGAAGGGGGACGCTTCGGCATGACCACCGGGGCCTCAGCAGGCTGTGTCTAATAGCAACCGCAAAGCTCTTGCACACACACACAAACACTCCTAGAATGAACTTTAACACCAATACAGACACATGCAACTAAGACTCAAACAAGACAACACTAATCGCGACATTCAGTTAAAAAGGGGGCCTATAGCAAGAATCTCACATTTTTTTACAGTGCTGATAAGATAAGACAAAAGAAAAGGTAAAAAGAGAAGGGAATACTCTGGATTAGCAGTCATAGAAAGTATGGCTGCCTGAGCTTAAGAGGATGAAAGAGAAGCTGGGAAAGTAACAAGGAGACCTGTGTGTTTTAAAACCACTAGCTCCGTATTATGTCCATTCCATAGCTATCCATTACCCCGATCATCTTACCAGGCGGTTTAGACTCAGGGTGGAGTCTGTGACACTGAAGCCAACCTGAAATACCTGAGTCACTCATGTACGCACAAGAAGAATACTATGGAAATGCTGAAATCATTAACGGAAAAACCATCAAGTGACAACACAACAACTTCAGATCTTT